CAAGGCACACCGGAGCGTGACCTGCCTGGTCCTCCCCCTGAGAGCTGGCACACACCAACAACAATCCCACGAGTAACAGCAGCAGCCATTGCTCCGCACAGCCTGAGGATGAGCCACCCCTCGGGGAGCCGCACAGCCAGGACAAGGTCGGGTTTTCCCCCACTGCCCCCATGATGCCGGGTGCGAGGGCCGAGGACTGCAGCTATGGGACAGGGAGCGGCAGACAGGAGCCCCAGAGCCCTGCCTCCTGCCCAGCGCCTGGCCGACCTCCCAGCCTCCTCAGCAAGAACACGGTGACCACAGCTGGACTCGGGAGAGGACGGGTCCCGCGAGGAGACTCCTGTCCTGCCTGCTGCCTGCACCTCTCCCACGCGCTGACGGACCTCTCCAACCTGCCCCGAAACATCCCCAGAGCTGGAGGCTTCACAGCCTCTTCACAAAGGTACTTCTGTTCTTCAGCACGCTTATGCTTGAAAAATACGTTTATCCTGAACCTCTTCTGCTGCTGGTTTGGCCCAGCCATCCCTGTAACAGACCCACAGATGAGCTGCGCAACATCGTCCCTGCAGCAGTCGCAGCATGGTCACAGACCCTCCCTGATCCCTTCGGTCTTCATTTCTCCAGACCAAGCAGCCCTCTTCCCTCACTCTTTTCACATCAGCCCCGCTCTCCGGAGCTCCGGGCACGCCTTCTGCCGGACCGCCCTCGCCCGGGCCACGTCACCAAGTCTGGGCGCAGCTTCCAGCCGAGAGCCCACCCGTGCTCAGGCTTGCCGTGCTCTGTGCCGGCACTGCAGCCCAGCGCGGTTTCTCCTGCTGCATCCCCACTGCTGGATGCAGCAAATCAAGGACCACGACCGCTGCTGTGCCAAACCCCTCCTGCAATCCAACCCCTTGGCCAAAGCACCCGTGGCCTCCTCCCAGCCCAGGCTGAGGGCTCTGTTTCCCACTCAGCCTTAGGCACCTCGCTCACTCAGCAGACCACAGCCTGTTCCCAGCTGCCCTGAAACATCCGTGTCTGTTTTGGCACAGGCTGGTTTTTACAGGAGCGAGATGCCCAGCGCAAGGCCTCGTGCCCTTGTTCCCTCTGGCTGCCCCGGAGAGCTGGAGCACCGCCGGAGCTCTGCACGCCGAGGGATGCCCACGGCAGGGCACGCCTCGCCCAGGCATGGAGCAGAGGCGCAGAGTCCAACCCGCCTCTGCGGCAGAGCCCGGAGATGTGCCACGCCGAGTCTGGACACAATGGGACTTGCAGCCCCCACGGAGCTCTCCACGTCCCCCAGGAAAGGGCCAACGGCCGGGCTCTGCAAACGTTGGCGGCTCAAGCCGGGGAAGAGCACTGCTGTAACCTGTTTTGACTCAAACTGTTGCAAGCAGAGCTGCGCATACCGGAGGCAGAGAAATTCTGCAGATCTGAACGCTCGTTTGGGTGCTTAAACAGGACCTGAGCTATTTTTAAAGTCTTCTCTCAGTTGTTGTCCCAAGCACTTACAAATGTGACCGCAAGATCTTTTGAAAGTCTGGCACACGCTATGAAAAGCAGCAGTGAAATGCACAAGTTTAAAAAAAAAAGAAATCCATATCCATATTCTAATTACTGTAGTCACCATAGTAACGGGAGCCCAAACTGGACCGTAATGCCAGTGTGCCAATCACAGGAAAGTTGTTCTTCGCAGCTATTCCCTTTGAATTGCTGCTGCGCTACCCGCCGCGCCATGGCTACCTCTCCTCCAGCCCCCTGAATTGCAGCTCAAGGTAAAGAGATTTTGGAGGAAACAAGCCATCAAGGGCCAGATTTCTGGAGGTGCCCAGCACCGTATCGATGGTGCACAGGCACCAGTTTGCTGCTGGCTCCAGGGGCGGACCTGCACTGGGGTAAGTGGGAGCTGCAGCCCCAAGCTCTCACCAAGTCCCAGCCTGTGCCAGGGACCGTGGCCGCCCCGACAGCCCCGCGCTGTCCCCTTCTGCCCATCCAGTAACAAACACCAAGCAAGAGTCCATCAGACCTGATTTATTAGGGTCAGCGATTCATACAAAATTTGACAGTGTTTGCAAATAAAAGTAACTGGTTGCTTGCTTTGCTGCCAGCAGCGCCAGCGGGTGCTCGTGCCGTGCAGGCAGGAAGGTTCCTGCCCGGGGCTGCCGAGGCTGCGGAGCTCTGCTGGGCACCCTGACACCCCCTCCCAAGGGGGGCTGGCCAGCGGCTCCTCTCCCCGCAGCAGGGAGGCAAAGGCACCCCTCCTGCTTGCTCAGAGCCCAGCAGAAACAAGTTCCGCTTTCCTCTGAGCGGCCGGTCCCCACGTTGCACGGCCGGGGAGGAAGGGGCTGCGGGCTGGGTCGCAGGTGTAAGGCACCGGGCAAAAAGAAACCGTGGGGATCAGGCCTCACCCCTTCCCAGCCCTCTTATTTACCGTCTCTCCTCTCCCCCATTCACTCTGACAGCACGCGGTGGAGGACATAAGCTAGGATGCAGCCCAGCAGCGCGGTCCCGAGGCGGCCAGGCAAACGCAGCCCAGTCCGGACCACGGAACTCATCGCCCGCCCTGGCACACCCTGCAACGCCAAAAGAGCAAAGTCCACTTTCTCGTACACAAAAAGCATACAAAAAAATGATTATCTAACATCAGCATCTCAGACCCTGAAGTGAACACTGTGATGTGACTGCCCAGCATCTCAAGTTCTACAACATATCTCGTACCTAAACAGGGCACACCTGAGCCTCCACCCACCCCCACAGTGGGGGCCAGGGAGCTGCTCACCCCTCCTCTGCAGCCGTCCGGTGCAGGATGAGGCGACTCATCTCTTACCAGTGCCTGTTTCTCTATACCATAGAGAAAACTGTGCCTATAAGGTAACTGCGGGAGTTGTCTCCATACAGCTGCCGCCAGGGCAGCTCCCCGCCCGGGATGGGGACGGCCACCCCGCACCAGCACCCGTCCCTGCTGTAGATGCAGCTAAAACGGCCTTTGCCCGGCAGAGCTGATGCACCAGGAGCAGGATGGGGAGACGCGTGGGGGAGCTGCACGGGCCGAAGCATGGCCACAGGCGTCACCCACGGCAGGGGCACGGTCCCCCGGCTCAGGAGCTCCGTTGAACACCCACCCGTGAGTGAAGCCCAGATTTACACGTGCCTGCCCTTCCCAGCCGCCTCCCCATCGCTGTCGCAGGGGAGCCTCACCAGAGACTTCTGGCAATGGCTCATCCCCCAAGACTCAAGTGCTGCCCCTCCATTTTCAGGGACGTCCCACACTGCCCAGCTGGTCATTGTCCCTACCTCCAACGGTTGCTCAGTTTTGTCCACATCATTTTATTCCATTTCTTTTTCTCCTCCCCCCTTTTCTGCCAACCCATTCTCCCTTCTCTCCCCTTACACCCCTAATCCCCCCCAGCACACACTCAGCACCGTTTCCCCTCTACACACCCAGCACCTCTCATTGTGTCTCCCATTTAACACAATGACAACCCCCCCCCCCCTGCTTGCCACAGCAGCCACCCCCAGGCGTCCTCCTGCCCAGCCCCATCCCACAGCCAGGGTGGCACAGAGGGGCTGCCAGCAGCCCGGGGACATAACCTGCTGCAGCAGAGACCGACTGCAGGCACAGCCCTCGCCGTGGTACTGGCCCTGGACCGAGACCCCTCTGGAGACATGGCGAATGCCAGAGCACGCTGGTGGGAGAGGAGGTGCTCCGGGGCTCTGGAGAGGTCACCCCGATGGTGGCACTTGCCAACACCACAACCGCTTCAGCCTGCGCCTGCTCCTGCTGGGACCAGCTCGGGTGTCCACTGGCTGAGCGGGCGCTGGAGAGCTCCTACTTCCTCCCGCCACCCTGCTCTCAGGGGACGTCTCTTGTCCCCCAACACCACTCATCTGCATCTTCCACTAAAATGTGCTCTTCCAGCCCTGTCTGCATTTTAACTCTGCTGTTGGCAAGGGACGGGGGGTTACCTTGAAAGACTCCAGAAAGCCTCCGTGACCCCCATTCTCCAGCTTGTCCTCCTCGGGCCCCAGCCCCAGCATGGTCTGTGTGTGCCCGTGGAGCTCGTCGTGAAGGTTGTCCAACAAGGCAGCCCGTGTCCGGTCCTGGGGGAGCAAGGACAGGCTCAGCTGGGGGCCCCGAGGGAGGGGACAGCGGTGCCGACCCACGGGACAGCCGGCTCGTCCCCCCGCCAAGGGCACCAGTGGCCCCACGGCCATCAAGTGCACTGAGACACATGCACGCTTCGATCACTCGTCCCTGCAAGCGCTGAC